CCAATCCATGCTTACGACACCAGACTAACACCTCCTTCACAATAACGCCAGGCTTCTTTAAATGAACATACAGACTCGTGTGTGCTGAAATGCCTTAGAGTCCATTCACCCTCTTCAATCGCTCCGAAGTTGAAGGCGAGTGTCTACAACAAAACACAGGATCGCCATAAAAAGGATCAACATAAACCATGGATCGGTAAAGAGAAAAATGGTACAGATAACAGGAGATAGAGAAAGGGGGAGATAATAGATTTTAGCGGAACCATTGAGGAGAGGATTAACCTTTATCGATGTGTATCTGGTCAACATCCATGACGGAGAAAAAGTCACTGCGAAAATCATGCGGAATATCGATCAGTCCATCAGATCTGCCTCTGCAAGAGGAAAAGGACGGGGTTCACATTCCAAATATAGAACAGCAAAACAGAAAACGAAAACTGAGATTCAAGCTCACCGGAAGCCACAGACATGGGTGAATAATATATGGAAAAGAAATATAAACCGCAGAATTCCCCACCACTCCCTATTTGATTCTCGGGGCCACTGGCACAGTCATTGTTCTAACTGCAACTGAAGCCTCCAAAAACGAAAGAATCCATAAAACATATGACAGGAGAAGCAATCGAGTCATCGAAGGAGGAGAAGGCAAAGACAGTGGGGCATGTCAAGAACCAGTTGGTCCCAATAACTCGAGTTGTTGGGAGAAGGTTCTGCTGGATTTTATATCACTCTCTAACACGCCCACTCAAACGAAAGCCAACCCATGGGCTTGAAGTTTGCACAGGCCCACCATACCTTGTGCTTTAATCAACTGTTAATATTGGGGGTCATAGAGATTCGAACACACGACCATTTGGTCGAACCAGCTCTGATACCATGTCAAGAACCAGTTGGTCCCAATAACTCGAGTTGTTGGGAGAAGGTTCTGCTGGATTTTATACCACTCTCTAACAGGGCATAGGAGGCCGGGCAAGGAACAGAGGGGAAGGAAGGAGGTGGGACCAGCATCAGCAGACATCGAATAGAGCAGGGAGGAAAGTGGAAAGAGCGCGGGAGAGGCATTCTGGTCGTCGGGGAGAGAATAAGAATAAGAGAAGAGGAGGCAGCGGCAGCAAATTTATCGGATTGCGGCGACAATGTCTATGCAGTGGAGGAAGCACATACGCGGCGGAGTAAATGGTCGGTCACACCCACACAAGCCGACCTTCTAAAAGTCACGAACACGCCCAACTTCATATCTCTGTCGTCCAAGCATTCTCTTTCTTTGCTGTTATGAAATTGGGTGCGAGAAGACAAGAATTTTTTTTCACCTGCAAATGATGGGGGAAGAAGGAGAAAATATCATATTGAATGAGAAGAGAGGTGGAGGAAAGAGAAACTAAAGACAAGTGGTGAAAGAAACTGACCCCATCTCTACTTCGATCTCCTCCTGTCAAGATAATGCATCTCTGATGAGTGGTGACGGAAACCAATGAGATAGAAAAGCAGACATGGAGAATAGAGCCCGTTAGGTAAATTGAGTGGCCAAAAACTAAATTCTACCTCCCTTTCAATTAACATCGAGAATAGCAAAAGGCAACGCGTTGATCAACGCGGCCTCACCAGAAACACACAAATGTAGCCAGGTCATCAACTGAACAGCCAACCAGATGTCTCATCATAGTCTAAAGAGAACCACAGCTTCAGAATTGAACCAGAGACCACCATACTCCTTCACACACCAAAGCCAAATCCGAGTTGAAACAGTACATATGAGTCTGGATGTACAGTGAAAGCTCTCTTGCTGCACAGGAATCGCGTCCGGTGGGGGTTTTCTTTTTTGAATATGTATGTATATCCCTTTCTGCAATACGTAACTAGGGTTTCAGGTTCACTAAACTCATCGAGTAGGCCTACGAATGCATGGGTCGTACGTGTCTCGGTCATGGGCTGAAGTGCATGGGCAGAACGTCCATCTATTATTTTTGGATTACATATGAAGCAGCTTTGAATACTCTGTGGCAAGGGATGTCTCTGGTTTGAACAACCTTTAATTTTCTTGCAGTCGGAGAAGAAGAGTGAGAGGCAAGCTCGGGAAGAAGAATGGTAGGGTTTCTGAGAAAGAAGCGGGGGTCATGGAGTGAACAACGATGAGGGTTATCAGAGTGGGATAGGGAACCGGGGAAGGTTTTATCCGATAATTAGAAGGTATTTTTCTTTTGGAGAAGAAGTATAGTAAGAGATGGGGGAATGAATTGTTTTTTTAATTTTTTGTTATTGCAATTTTTTTTTTGTGAAAGTGAGGTGGAATTTTTAAAAGATTAAATATATTTTTCCTTATTTTTTAATTGTCACGTCACTTATTTAACGGTTAACTCTCAGAGTTGACTGTCACGTCAGATAAAGTTAACGGAGAGTGACCAAACTTGAACTATTAAACTAATCTTAGTGACTACGGATAGGAACAAGGGTTTGGACTAGTGGTAATAATCTTAGTGACTGCGGATAGGAACAAGGCTTGGCCTAGTGGTACCACTAGGCTAGAACCTGGAGGTTTCAAGTTCCAATCCCTTAAGTAGTACCTTATTAATTACAAAGAAATGAAACCTATATCACCCTTATCCAAAAATATCCGTGACTACGGATGAAATAAATTAATTTTAGTGACAAACGTGAACTTTTCAAATAATTCCAATGACCAAACTTGCAATTTAATTACCCCAAATATAATGGTCACTTCATGTCATTGACTATCGCATCCTTCATAGTTACTAGACTATCCTCTCTATTGAATGATATTCCCTAGACTCATTGATTTAAAGTAAAAAAATTAATGAAAAGCTTGTAGAGGATTGATTAAAAGTCGCCAAATGAAAAACATTTTTTAGGAATTTCATTTTTTACCCCTCAAAATGGATCATAAAACTAGTATTTTTAGAAATTGAGTGTCTATATAGTCAAGTAACATATAACACTCATGTGCTCACTATCTTTTAGCACACTCGAGGTTTGTCATAAGACTGTTGTACATGTAGCAATTTTTGTCGTAGTCTTGGCCCGTCCATAGTTTTTCTCATGGAAACCAGAAACGATGACGAGTTTATGGAAAAAAAGAAGAGGAAGACATATTTTAATTACTAAATCGGAATATGTTAGTCCTAATGAAGGGCAAAGTGGTTTGGTATATATGAAGACATATATCCTGGAATTGAAGCATGTGCGAATTCTAGTATAGCTTCGATTGATTACGGAGGTTGCAAAACTTTGATGTTTTCTTTCAAAAGCAAACCTTGTACTGTTTGGTGCAATCGTACAAATAATATAGCAGTGTTCCATCATTAACTAGAGGATTTAATTTAGAGTTTGTGAGCGGATGTTAAGTCATCAAATTTAGGAGAGACCATAAGAATTTTAGGAAAAATCTATCTATGCGAAATCAAAAAAAGTTTTATGACATTTGGATTGCGGAGCACAAAGTTATAGTCTTTCAAAATTTGTCAAAATCGAAAAATGCTCGTTCAGGGTAGCAAACGAATTTATTTTTTTATGAAGGCTTCTTGCAGATTGAAAGATCTTGAAAAATTATGTGGAATCATTTTTTTTTTTTGTGTGTGCTACAATCGGATAACCGAGCGCAAAGGTATGTTTGTTTGAAATTTCAGTGTTACGTCAGGCATTCACCGCGGCCGTCAACCGCGGTGATGCATTCACCGCTTTCGTCTGCCATGGTCAGTGGAGGACCCAGGATTGTCGGAGAGGTGTGTCGCCGATAAAATTCAATAATAATTAAAATAAATTAATTCATAAAGTTCACAATGTCATATTTACAACGAACCGCGACTAGTTTTCATATGTTGAAATGTCTCTAAAATACATTCATCACTTATGCTGCAAAGCAAATCTTTTTCAATATACACACCTAAACAATCATTCATAAATTGGTCACTCAACCAATTTCGAAAATCGTTATTGATTATCTTCATAGCTGAAAATGCTCTTTCGCAGCTTGTAGTTGCAACAGGTAAAGTGAACACCAACTTCAACAGCAAGTAAACTAATGAATAAATAGTATCCGCCTAGTAAAGTCAAAACCAACTTCAACATCGTCGCTAGAGACGTATCAAACTATTATAACAAAAAATTGTCCCTTCACCAAAACCCAATTTTAACTCGTGGACCGTTCATCTGATATCTCCCAGCGTGGGTCCAGAATTTGAAGAGAGCGATCGGGTGAGAGCCGCAAAGTTTGACGTGGGAAAGCCGAAAGCATGCAGAAATAAGCACATAACCCTGCACCGTCCATCCGCCGTCCCCCTATTTCATGCGCCTGAGCTTATCCCTGACTTTTTATTCGCATTGAACTGATGAACTCTATATTGCTAGCTAGCTTCTTACAGATTTATGGTCGTATTCTAGTTTAACAACATGCAAGTTGCAACTCGTTAATTTATTGCAACTTTATTCTCATTTCTTGCACATGAGAGCTGACACAAGTTTGTGTATTTTTTGGCCTTTGTGGGAAGCTGCTTTATTTTCTTCGTCAAAGCTACGAAAGAAAGAAAGCAAGTGGGCGAGGAGAGGACACAACTGCATGCGCAAACACCTTATACCTATCTCAGTCTTTCTCTGAACAACAGCAAAAAGAGAGAGAGAAAAAGAGCCGGAGAAATAATGCAAGTATGTAACAGTACTCCTCCAGTCCTCCCGATCGATCCCCTCCAAGTTTATATAATGAATAGAATCAATAGATAGAGTAGAGGGGAGTGAAAAACGTTTTAGGATCAAGGACGGAGCTAATGGTGCATTAAGGTCTGGTCCCAATGTCAATCCGAGTCCTTTTTTTTTCTTCTTCCGGTATCTATAAAATTCGTGGTAAAAAAAAAACAAATCATGCATATTATATTTGGTTCAATATGATTTGGATAATATGGTTCAATATAATTCGGTCCATCTGTCAATTTGATATGATGCAATACCTGGAACGGACCAAACCGTTGCACACCTCTAGACCAACCAATGCTATAATAATAATAGCACATTGATACAAAAATTCCAGCATGAGGAGGCTTTAAAATTCAGAAATCCTCCTTCATTACCAAGGATCTACCGCCATGCACGCATGCATTTACATATATATGCATGCGTACTGATTACTGAACGAGCGAGCTACTGGTCTGACGTGGTGGAATCGTCATGATCATCATGACCTTGCTGATGATGATGATAATGATCTGAAGACGAGCGATACAACCTCATCATATCATAATCATGATCATGATCATGCTGCTCCTGCTGCTGACTACGATCAAGCCGCTGATCACCATCCTGGACATTATAAACCGATGAAAACGCCGAAGACGACGACTGGGGAGGATGAGCAAAGGGATCAGCCTGAGGTTGACCCATGAGGAGATTCGAGGCGTGGTACTGAAAATCGGACTCACGGTCGCTCGAAAGAATGTTGGCGTACTGAAGCAGGTGAGGGTAAGCGTCATGTGGTGATGGCGGCGGCGGCGGCGGCGGTGCAGCAGCTGATGAGACGACGGTGCGGCTGGAGCCCGAGGCGGCGGCTGTCGAGAAAGAGTGGGGTTGAACTCGTTCTGGGAAGTTGAGCTTGGCCTTGCTGCCTTTGAACTTGAGAGCGGCCTTGTCGTACGCAGCGGCTGCGTCCTCGGCGGTGTCGAACGTGCCCAGCCAGACCCTGGCCGCCTTCTTCGGGTCGCGTATTTCGGCCGCCCATTTCCCCCATGGCCTTTGTCTCACGCCTCTGTAGTGTCTTCTCCTTGTATTCCCTATATATATAATGCATCCACACCAATCTTGCTTCAAAAAACCGTAAGCAAGCAAAACTAATAATAAGTGTTTCAAAAAACGCAGCAAGCAAAACTAAAATAATAAGGAGATCATACATGCATGCCGCTACGTCAAGCTAGCTGAGATGACAAGGATGTAGATAGATGTTTGCGAGGCGAACTCTGCCTCGATGATTTGATCAGTTCGATTCGTGAGCTAAGTCGTTTTGAGTTATGATTTGGCTCAACGGTGTTGCCAGCAAGTCACATCGATCAGCGGCTTATGAACGAATTGATTTATAGCGTATGAGTTGGCTTGTTGTCATTCATATGCTTGCTAAATAATTTTGTATATATATATCACCATGTATAACATTTAGTACGCGAAAAAATATGTCTCATTTGTAATTTAAAAGAGAAATTACATTTATCGCATATTGTTTAGATAGTAATTACCATTAGACAACATTATATGAGTCATTAAAGTTTATGAACTATATCATATGATACTTTGAGTACAAGCCAATCGAATATATCACAAACTGATTAATGAGCCAAAATCGAATATAATTCATGAGCTTATTGATGAATCGACCTCGAATCCCAATGTTTTAGTACAGGAGGGGGAACACAAGTTAGGTGTGTATGCATAGCCAAAACGATTAATAATATACTTATTAAGTACTCCATAAGACCAAGGAGGTCAACATAAACAATTGGGCAGAGTTTGATAGGAAGCCAAATTAGCTAGCCGTAACCACCAGACAGAAAGTACAAGGAGCCCGACATAAGAAGGGAAAATGTCAATTGGGTAGATATAGTGGGATCGAGGAACGAGGATAGAAAGCAAGTCATTTACTAAACCAAACCGATGAAGAGTTTCATTGAATATATGAAATGTGACAAGAAACTAAAATTCTTTGAGCAAAGGAGACAAATTAAACGACGGTCGTCGGGTTGAACGTGATGAGGTGACAGACGACAGAGAGTGTGTGAGTTAGGTTTTGGACCATACGGAAAACGAATGGTTGGTGCATGGTTTTTGGGGAGGTGGTGGACCTGAATATATAGGGATTCATTGAACTTAGCCCCCCACATTTTGCCAATATCTATATCCTATACTTATCCCAACCGCAAATAAAATTGGATTGTACATATATCCTTCCTCAAACCAAACAAAGTAAACCGATCCATATGGAATGAAGATTAAGGAAACTAAATGCACTGTTAAGATCATTGTAAGTGATGCTGTAAATGAGTTGGACTGTTTTATCGTCTGGCTCGGGGGGGGAATGGTTTCATACTTGACTTGTTTATTAATGAGTCGAATTCGGACTAAGTCTTGTTGGGCTTGCAAAGATCGTGCACCAGCTCGACCTGGTGACTTGTTGAGTTCAACTAGTGAACTAACTTGTATTGAGCTATGAGTTTGCTCAATACAAGTTGAGTTCAACTAGCCAGCCACCTCAACTAACTACTTATTATGAGCGAATCGATTAATAACTACTTATCCATTCGCTGCTTCTTGACAATTCAGAGAGATTCGTTAGGTTACACACATCTCACCACATATAATGTTTAATAACTTGAGCACATGATCAGTTAATTTCTTTAGACACGACTAATTAGTATTAAATAACATGATATAAAAAATTAAAATTTCTGAACTAAAATGATATTATCTCTAAATTGAGTAATTGATGAGGAGAAGTCGAGTAGAGCTCGTGAGCTTATTAACAAGCAGAACTCGAGCAGAGCTCTAGCTAGTCGAACACAAACCAAAATATTTTCGTAAACAAATCGAGTCCGAGCTCGACTCGTTTATCAATGAGTCGCGAGCTCAAACTAGATCAAAACTCCACTCCGACTCATTGTCGCGCTCTGATGGTAAAGAAACTAACTTATCCATATAATAATCTACGATAAATTTCATTCCTAAAAGAAACAATCTAGGTGAGATCAATGATGCAGAAGATCGATCATCGGATCTGAGATGAATCGGTAATTTTACGTACCTGCAGGATCTGCAGGTTGGGTTTGGTTCTGCTGCTGGGTAGGGGTTGAAGAAGAAGAAGAATGTCCAAGTGCTCTAGTGGCTGGGGTGTTGTTGGTAGTCCGGTCAACCTGAGAAGAGTAGTAGTTATAGGATGATCGCGGTTGCGGTGCAGCAGTAGCTGAATCGCCGGTGGCGATGACTTGAGAGAGAGCGGAGACCATGGCTGACGTGTCCTCTTCTGACCACCCGCTGTAGGTCGGAGACGAAGAAGATAATAGAGATGATGATGACGACGACACGTGGGTTCCAAATAACTGATGATAAGGATCGCCGCCTCCTCCTCCTCCTCCTCCCGTCCTTTCATCGTCATCCGCCGCCGCCGCCGCCGGTGGAAGTGGCCGCTTATTCCCATGCTTTCTTGGATCCACCTTTGCCGATAGCAGACCCTTATGGATCTCCTTCAAGATCAACACACTAACTCAAGTCTGATACGATATGATGAGTTACGTTGGTCAGGCGCAGCTCAGCTCAATGAAACGGACAAGGAAACTGAAAGAAACCAAAGGAGCTATGGTAGCTCAAATAATTCAAAGAACCCACCGCCTTTCCTTTCGTATACTCTCTCTCTCTCTCTGGCTGTGTGTCTGAATGGAATATGAAGTAATTCCTTCCTGTTCCCATTCAAACCCGTATACAATAAGATAGCTAAAGCGACTTTGACTACTTCCATATACATATATGGTGGCTTCTACGGTACCCCGGGAGAAATCCGGGGTATCGTATATCTTGAATATGAAAATTCTACTTAGACCTCGAATTAACAGGATTTTTGGACCTGATACTATACCCTAATTCTTAATGAGTGAACCCTAGGTCCTAGTTATCTAAATCATAAACTATAAACACTAAGATGGTGCATTCATTTTTTTGCCTATATTTGGGCGAATCATAACCGTCAATTATTGTTTCTAATTAAATTGATCTTGGGGTACAAGATTTAGAGAATTAAGGCCTAGATTGTGATCTTTAAGGGTTAAAGTATAGTATGATGTCCGAAAATTCAATCAATTCAAGGTCTAGATAGCGTTTTCATGCTCAAGGTATGTGGTACCCTGGATTTCACCCTGGGTACCGTAGAACTCCCCATATATATATATATATATATAATATAAGTCGGGTACATGCCCATGGTATTTGAAATGTAATAGCTAGTAGTAGTGGTACTCTAGCCACTTGGGTATGTATGCATGCATGCGTGGCACTGACCTGGAGCCCTAGAGTTTAGAGCGAATTTGCTTGACTCACACAAGGGTGTGATCAAAAGGCAATGTTGGCAACATATATGCATCGCTTGAGTGCCAGCGGTTTCTTTAACGCGAGCCGCGATTGAGTTAAGCAATTAAGGTTACTCGCCAACTATAAAACGAAACGATTTATTATGGCTCGCGTACAAGCAGAGAGGACCCATCTCGATGTTGAAGTGTCACTTTTAACATGAGAGAAGATGATGAAGTGCAAAACTTCTTAATTGAATTTTTGAGAAAGTGTATTATGTGGTTACACGTATAAGAGATTCAACCTATGTAAGCATGAAGTGTAGCCGCTTCAAGAAACCCGGACTTTGGTTTCGTGTGCGCTTATGAGAAGGATTGGACACATGGCTGTTAATAGTGTCAAGGCACTTAGAAGTTTGTAAAACTTAAGTGTATATTATCTTCGTATATTCATATGAGTAGATGGGTTCAATCGTTACCGACACCCAAATATTCGGATATTCGATAAGTGTAATATACTATGTTGAAAATTCAATCGTCACGACATTTTCATTTATGCTTAAGTTTTTTTGGAAGAATGTTGTAATTTTAGTGAATTCTATGAATACACTAAAATGGGGGAGGAATGTTGGAAATTTGGTTTAACCAGACTAACCAAGTCAAACCGGTTTTAGGTTGGACCGACCAACCAGTTTGGGATTAGACCGACCGAACCGATATTCTAATTCTGTGAAGGGACACATCCCTTTGGCCTAGTGGCGGTTGCATTATTTTATGGATAAGGATAACCTTATGGATAAAGGCAACCCTTCATATGGATTAGGACAACCTTTCATATGGATAAAAGCAACCTTTCGTATGGATAAAGACAATCTTTCATGAAACAATGCATGGATTCGGCCCCTATAAATATGTGTGTGGGGTGGATGATGCTACACACCATCAAACAGATTCTTCTTCTTTCTTCCAAAATTTTCTAAGTATGCTTTAGAATTCTTGAGCCTAGAACCTAAAGTGGTGATAGTTTTATCCTCGGGAGAAATTTCTTTTAACCCAAGGCTTTGTAGAGGGTGGAAATATTTTTTTCGGAAAGTGAACGTTGTTCACGACTCTATCACAATCCTAGTCACCCGGTCTCGGGACTATCGTACGTACACCCTCGCTCCCATGCGCCTATGGTGCCTTGCAAGTCACCGTAACTTGCACTTTTCGGTCGACCTATTCTTAACTGAGGTCGACCGAATACACTAATGTGGGCACTCTGATGACTTATAACGGTCGACTTTACAAATGTAATGGTCGATCGTTTTCAGTTAAGTTGAGACATTACCGGTCGACCACAATAAAATATCGGTCGCCCTTTTCATTGGAGTTAGAAGCAAATGGTGGACCGTAAAGGTAAGTAGCTAAGTCAACCACTTGATGGCGGTCATTGCCAAAATGGTCAACCATTTACAGAAAGAGGTCGACCAGATAGAAAAGTAAAGTGTTCTAACAATTTATCCATCCCCCTTTGACGTAAAATGAAGATCAAGAGTGTTAGTTTCGATACAGGAAAATCAACCTATGACCTGCATCTTTTTTGCTTATGTATGTCGATGTGGGTGGCTTGTTTGCTCGTACAAATTACGTTTCAAACCAACAGAATCTTCGTAAATTATGATAGCAATGACTCATAACTTCATAACATAACATCTTAACACACTAAGAAGAAATACAATAAAGCACACCTCATAATTGTTCTCACATACCTAAAATCGAAAACCACATAATATTAATCCACAATCGCCTTTAAGACTTAACAACAAAATTACAAAATCTTAAATCGTCGGGTTCCTAAACCTTTCCCCTCTCTCACTCATCCGCATTTTCCTCATTGGTGTTGCTAGCATTATGGTAGTCAGATGTGGTGGGATGCATGTATCTTCCACTAAAAGATCAGAACTCATCTCGCAGGTCGATCTGTTACAGTCACCTGCAGTGTGCTCATCTAGGTGGTCATCTGCCTCATGTAGTCATACATGCCATCATCCAGGTGGACATCTACCCCATGTAGTCGTACATGCCATCCATGCGCTCCCATATACGCTCTAAGGTGACTGGTGCAATTGAACTCTGTGGCTGCGCCATTAGCTCATCTCCAGGCTCTTCATCATCATCAGCAACATCATCCTCATCATCATCACCATCATGGACTACATGAGGATTGTATGTTCGGACATACTCACCATTATGCATCTCAAATCCCATCTTCTTCAGGGATGAAATTGTATTGAACTCATGCCTTGTGATTCTTAAGCCAACCTCACCACTTAAATCCACACCAAAATGCTCATATAACAAAGTCAGGATCATCCCATAGAGGGATTCCTGGTTGAACTCTCTGCAACAACAAGCATATGTTTAAAGATCAAGTGTGGCTAGTTCACCTTCTCATTTGAAAGTAGGTTGGTGAGGAGCTCCAAGTCAAAGTAGGTGACTGCCTCCTGATGTCCACCCTTAGGCAAAATGTTGTAGGAGAGCATGTGGTGAAGAACTCTGGCTTGAACTGTCAGTTGGCAAATCGTTGACCTACTGCGATCTTGAACATCTTCCTCTTCAGCAAGACCACATACAGTCTGAATTTGCTTGGTTCTCGAGAAATGATTTTCATTCCAAGCATTGTAAGAATTGATTCTCTTCCCCTGGTTTGGAGTCTCTAGTACTTCTGCCAACACATTCTTGGTGAGACGCATCTCCACCCCATTCACATAGCTTTTAAAAGCATGAATCGATCCATATGCATTAGGCTGATAGATGTTGTTGTATAAGTACTGTACCATTTTTGGGTAGTATGGTACATTGAGAGATATTACCTTCAACCAATCTTGCTCCGCAAATTGTGCAAGGAACCTGTAATCTTCGAAATGAGAATACGCAGCGCTCGTCAATGGCCTTCCAGGATCCACCTTGCGGTTGTGCATTCTCCTCTCTTCATATTTGTCACTTTGCTCCTTGGTCTGGAACAGAGTAGGGTTGAACTCTTTCCATTCAGAACTTGATCAGCAGCTGGTTTTTCTAACTTTTTTTCTTCTTTTTTCTCGAAACATCCTGAGATCAAACAAGCGACAATTCACGTTAGCCAAATGACAAAACCTACCGGACTCGGTCGACCTGTCCATAAACATGTCGACCTATACACTGCATGCATAGACAAAACATAATATCAATAGGTCGACCTCAACCAAACTATATCAACCTTTGTTTGCAAGCACCAGCAAAAACCAAACAATTCTTAGTCCTATTTGCAAATATCACGAAACCAAACATTATAGGTCGACCTAACTATCCATAGATCGACCTATTTTTTCAAGCAGTAACAAAAATCACCATAAATCGAACACGAATAGGTCGACTTCAACCAAAGTAGGTCGACCTTTGTTTGCAAGCGGAAGCAAAAACATAGACATTTGCATAAATCTACGAGACAAAACATCGATAGGTCGACCTCTTTTCATCATCGGTCGACCATTGTTTGTTCAAGCAGAAGCTAAAAATCGAGCCATGCATAAATCGACAAGACCAAACATCAATAGGTCGACCTCTTTTCATTATTGGTCGACCTATTTTGGTTCAAGCATAAGCAAAACATCGACATTTGCATAAATCAACGAGAACAAACATCAATAGGTAGACCTTTTTTCATCATCGGTCGACCTTTATTTGTTCAAGCAGAAGCTAAAAATCGACATTTGCTTAAATCAACATTTTCAAACATCAATAGGTCGACCTCTTTTCATCATGGGTTGACCTAATTTGGTTCAAGGAGAAGCTAAACATCGACATTTGCTTAAAATCAACGAGATCAAACATCAATAGGTTGACCTCTTTTCATCATCGGTTGACCTTTGTTTGTTCAAGCATAAGCTAAACATTGAACCATACATAAATCGACGAGTCCAAACATTAATAGATCGACCTCTTTTCATCATTGTTCGACCTATTTTGGTTCAAGAAGAAGCTAAACATCGACATTTGCTTAAATCAACGTTTCCAAACATCAATAGGTCGACCTCTTTTCATCATTGGTCGGCCTATTTTGGTTCAAGCAGAAGCTAAACATCGATATTTGCATAAAATCAATGAGACCAAATATCAATAGGTCAGCCTCTTTTCATCATCGGTCGATCTTTGTTTGCTCAAGCAGAAGCTAAACATCGACCCATGCATAAATCGACAAGTCCAAACATGAATAATTTAAACCTCTTTTCATCATTGGTTGACCTATTTTGGTTCAAGCAGAAGCTAAACATCGATATTTGCTTAAATCAACGTTTCCAAACATTAATAGGTCAACCTCTTTTCATCATTGGTCGACCTATTTTGGTTCAAGCAGAAGCTAAACATCGACATTTGCATAAAATCAACGAGACCAAACATCAATAGGTCAACCTCTTTTCATCATCGGTCGACCTTCGTTTGTTCA